TTAATGACCTTCCAAATGCCTCCCAACACCTCAAACCAATTCTATTTGCTGACGACACAACCTTCATTTACTCCAGTCCTGACCCCCTTGCTCTAAATGTCACAGTGAATACTGAGCTAAATAAAGTCCATCTTTGGCTAACTACCAACAAACTCACCCTTAACATTGACAAAACTTTCTTTATTTTGTTTGGCAATAAATCCTCAAATCAAATAAATCTCAGGATACACAATACCCAAATTTGTAATAATGTAGATGGCAAATTCCTTGGCGTTCTCACTGACCACAAGCTGAATTTCCAGGGACACATTCTAAATATATCAAAAAAAGTTTCAAAAACTGTTGGCATTCTTTCTAAGATCAGATATTACGTACCTCGCCCTGCCCTGGTGACACTCTATTACTCTCTCATCTATCCTTATCTCAACTATGGTATTTGTGCTTGGGGTTCTACTACCCAAAATCATTTACGTCCTCTAATTACTCAACACAAAGCTGCTATTAGGACAATATCTAACTCTGGCCCCAGACATCACTCGGTACCCCTACTCAAATCTCTGAATATGTTAGATATTAAGTCACTGCACATCCTCTCATGTGTATTATATATATACAAAACGCTGAACTGTAATGCCAATCCTGACCTTAAAAGCTTCCTAGAAGGTTGTAACAGAACCCATGAGCACCACACCAGAAACAAATACCTTTTTGATATTCCAAGAGTACGACTTAATCAAACTAGAAATGCTCTACAAATCAAGGGACCCAGAATGTGGAATGACCTTCCCAATCATGTTAAAGACTGTACCTCTCTCAACCAGTTTAAGATAAAAACGAAGCTATACCTAATTAACTCCCTGTAACCTACCTTACCTCTTTAATGCCAACACTGTCTGCTATTTTTAAACAATACTGTTTGTCGACCAAATGTTTTTTTTTTGCTGTTTTTCTGCCATGTTCCCCGCTTTTTTTATTTTTATATTTTCTCAACACATTTTATACTTTAATCTCAATTAGTATTAAGTTTTAGTCTTTAGTGTTTTTCCTGCTCGAAACGCTTTGCGTAATAGTGGCTTTAGGCATTGTATGTACTAGCTCTATCTATAAATTCATCAATATTTGTATCACACCTTGTATGTATGTACTTTACCTGATAAACATTTGAATTTGTATTTGAATTTTGTGAAAGCCAGTACGGCGCATGACGTGTGGCAGATGTCTCGGGAGGCGGACGGGTTTTTTTTGCTTGTGAAGCGGGCGGCGCCTTATGGAGGTGTACAGAGGTCGTGACCTTTCCTGACCTTGTTTAAGTACCCTCCACTTGTTTGCCGCAAGGCGCTGTGCATATGTTTTTCTCCCCCCCCCCCCCAGAAAATCCACCGCTTTCGTGCATTTAGTGTTCATATATAGAGTGATGGACCACCAGTAAACCACTTATAGTTGAACCGACTGATATGTGACGACTTATACTGAATTTTGTAACTAGCTCATCAAGATTGTAATTTGCTTAGGTAAATGAACTGTAGGGTTCAGTCCCTGAGCCCATTATGTGCCTCTGTAACCCTCTCCACTACCGCCCACAAGATGTGTATGGGGTGCATAATAAATGAACTAAACTAAACTGATATTGTGTGTGTTAGACACGATAAGATTTCATCTGTTTATAGGACTAGCTTCAGTCACAAGCACTACCTCTGAAGCACACTGTGCTTGTATGAGGTCAGTGCTGCCTGAACCACGCCAGCGACAACACTGTTGTTGTTGTCCTCAAGACGGAGCCAAGTAAACATGCCCACATTCTTGTACTCTCGCCTGTCCCAGCCTCCCCCCTAAACCACAACACTCCTCCCATGACAACATTCTTGTACTCTCGCCTGTCCCAGCCTTCCCCCTAAACCACAACACTCCTCCCATGCCAACATTCCCCCTAACCGGTTCCGCCCCCCTCAAGAACCCCCCCCACCCCTTCCCGTAAACCTCGTCTCTCCACCTGTCCCATCAACCGTCTAGTTCGACTGTTTCTTTCTCAGTATTTATTATATCAAATATAATTCCCCCCATGCACTCGGGTTCTGTCAACAAGTTATTCTACCTCTTCGCCTTTACTTCAGTACATACAGAAATCACAATAGCGTGATATATCAAATGAATAAATCCACATGGATTCAAATTCAATCCCGGTTGCAATTCTTTTGACCATGTCGTGGCTCAGTCGATTAAGGAGCGTCTGGGATCATCCTGGACGTAAGTTCGAACCTTCATCACGGTCTTTGTGGGTGTATTCATTTGATACATCACGCTATTGTGATTTCTGGGTGTATGATAATTAGACTCATCTAGATGATTCGCCGGAGTCAATCTTGAGATGATTTCGGGGCTTTTAGTGTCCCCGCGGCCCGGTCCTCGACCAGGCCTCCACCCCCAGGAAGCAGCCCGTGACAGCTGACTAACACCCAGGTACCTATTTTACTGCTAGGTAACAGGGGCATAGGGTGAAAGAAACTCTGCCCATTGTTTCTCGCCGGCGCCTGGGATCGAACCCCGGACCACAGGATCACAAGCCCAGCGTGTTGTCCGCTCGGCCGACCAGCAGCGGCGAGGGCAGGCGGAGTGAGGCAGAGCCCCAGTGTGCGCCCGTATTTATACAGGCCCCAAACTGCCCGCGCAACGCGCTGCGCAATTGTTTCTTTCTCCCCCGCCAGAAAAATCCCCGCTTGCGATCAAGCAGTGACCATTTTCTGACCAGGGGGAGAAAGATACTGGCAGTATGGGGCGTTAAAGTTTATTGAAGATTAAATTCTGCAGAACATGTAAATGTGTAAAGTTCAAATATAAAGTAAGTAATTATATAAAGTTTATATTAAACACGGTTTATATTATAGGCTTATAACAAAGTTGATATTATTAAACTTAATATTGAACATGTAAATATATAGAGTTTCAAAATATATAATTTAAGGACTATATAACGTTTATATTAAAATATATAAAGTAAATATATAAAGTAAGAATTAACAGTAACAATTCCAAGGACTAGATTTAACTTAAAAGGTACACCCGTAGTAAGTATGAGACCTTAGCCTATAGTGACATGGAAACTAATTCTGCAGAAACCTAAAGGTTAACTGGTACTAGAATTAAGGCCGAGTGCAAATGTGTAGTAATTATATAACACTAGGATATAACAGGCAGGACACAAAGAATAACTAATAAGTGAGAGACCACATAACACGTAATGTACCCGGCCAAGAGGCCGTAAAAGACCTAATGGATAAGGAGAAGGGGGTGTGACTACAAGTAGGGCTTACTAGCACCTAGACTGGGCAAAGTATTAGCTGCGGACATTAATGTAATGAGAGGTTAGAGTGAGTATATTGTTTACTCGCTACAGCCCTGTCAATTCACCTGAGAATTTTCTATGTGGTGATCATGTCTCCCCGAACTCTTCTGTTTTCCAGCGACATGAGGTGTAGTTCACGCAGCCTTTCCTCATAATTCATGCCTCTTAGTTCTGGGACTAGCCTAGTGGAATACCTCTGAATTTTTTCCAGCTTCGTCTTGTGCTTGACAAGGTACGGGCTCCATGCTGGGGCCGCATACTCCTGGGGCCTTACATATGTGGTATACAAAGTTCTGAAAGATTCCTTACCCAGGTTTCTGAAGGTAGTTCTGATGTTATAGTCAGCCTCACATACGACACTGATGTTATTCTTTTGATGTGGGCTTCAGGAGACAGGTTTGGCGTGATATCAATTCCGTTTCATGAAGGACTTTATCTCTCACTCGGTATCCAGTGTCTGACCTCTTATTTCCTTTGCCTAGTTTCATTACCTTACATTTACTTGGGTGGAATTTTAGTAGCCATTTGTTCGACCATTCTTTCAGTTTGTCTAGGTCGTTCCTCTAGGAGATCATTTACATATATATCAGGAACAGTATAGGTCCAAGGACTGATCTCTGTGGGACTCCACTGGTGACGCCGCGCCACTCCGAGACCTCACCCCTCACCGTGACTCGCTGTCTTCTGTTGCTCAGGTACTCCCTTATCCAATGGAATATCTTCCCTTTCACTCCTGCCTGCATCTCCAGCTTGTGCACTATAGTCTCTTATTTGGTACTGTGTCAAAGGTTTTCTGACAGTCCAAAAATATGCAGTCTGCCCACCCAGCAGTGAATGGGTACACGGTTGTTAAACTATTTAGTGGGTCGTATTCTGGGGAAAACTAAGATTAAGGACCTGCCCGAAACGCCATGAGTGCTAGTGGCCTTACAATAATGTAAGAACTCTTGTAAGTAAATAAAAAGTAAGTACTTACTGTAATTGTAAGAATCTAAGTACATAAAAAATATATATTTACCTACCTGAATTTACCTGAGGGCGACTAATAATAATGGCCTCGACGAGGACAGGAAGCTGGCGGCTTGTCAATGGTCTCCCCCTAATATATATTTAGAGCAATACATGTCGTCGCCCACTCACTTTACATGCACATCTTGCCCATTCATTTATGATTTTTATGTTTGTGTAAATATGAAGTTGAATTAATTTTGTGGTAATGGGTCTTTGTTACAACTTATTAAACTTTTCTTCTGCCGGACATCCCAAAATTTCATCATCTACCATGTTGATGATATGTACGATAATTATAAAAATAGACGACATACCTGGAACTACACAATATAATTATACCGCTCTTTTTACGATTTGGTCGCTTGCCTTTATAAACAATCTTTAATAATTAACAAAAAGACTATAATATGATCATCAGACCTTCAAATAGCGCAACACAAGTCTAATATATTTAGTTTAAAGCAAAGTCCTGCCCGAAACGCTTTGCGTAATAGTGGCTTTAGGCATTGTATGTACTAGCTCTATCTATAAATCCATCAATATTTGTATCACACCTTGTATGTATGTACTTTACCTGAATAAACTTTTGAATTTGAATTTGAAATTGGGAGTTTGTTCACATGAAGTACAAGAAGTGAGTGCGGCGGTACGAGAGTGTAGCGAGCCAGGCGTGGCAGTCAGCTGGTGCCGGGCTCCCGGGCTGCCTCAGACGACATCCACCAGCGGGGAGGACTGGACGTTGCTGTAGCTGCTCCTGCTTTTTCTCTAGTTTTATTTTCAAGGTGACTATAGTTTAGTGTTTTATATTTGTAAACCTCATGCCACTTACAGCCGGCTTTCCATTCGATGGCACGCTATTTATTTGTGCGTGTGAGAGTATTGCGAGCACAAGCAGAGGAGACGGACTAATATACTGAGGGCGAGAACGGCTTAAAGCAATACAACACCTGTTTTATCTCAGCTGTTGGATGTTGAAGTGAATTTATTAAACAGTTTATGAACCTTAATGTTATATTGATTAAATGCGTATTTTGTGATGGTGTTGTGGAGACTTAAGGTGATATGTAGGAAAAATTTGGTAGAGTTTGACCTGGTGGAGACGACCGTATCTCGTCTCTTGGTATAAGCTTCATAGTTGTGTGTATAAAGACTAAAGTCAATCAACTTTTTAAGTTCTAGTAAGTTTGAGGCAATGAAATAATCTCAAAATGATAGAATAGTTTATTTCTACCCTCGTGTATTTAAGGTCCTTCAAGGGGCTCACAAATCCATTGGGTACACTAATATTAATCTTTATTTTACTTTTCTCATTCCAATAGTAATCACATGGGTTTATTGTTGAGAATTTAAGTGACCTTGAATAACAGTATGATTGATTGGTCGAGTAATTATGGTAATGGCTTCTGATTGGTGGAGGAGTGAGATGATTTGCCTCCCAATTGGGCAAGACGTGGCGTGTTGTGGCTGGTGATTGGCTGGTGGCGGGGGCCTGGCCTGGCGCGCCTCGTCACGGTGAGAGGGTACCATGACTCTCCCTCCCTCACCCACCTAGTTGTGCTGGCGGGGGTTGAGCTCTGGCTCTCGGTCCGCCTCTCAACTGTCATCTGACTTTTCCCTTTCCCCTACATCTCCCCCCCATCCACCCCACCCCAGGAAGCAGCCCATAACAGCTGTCTTAACTACCAGGTACCTATTTATTGCTAGGTGAACACGGGCATCAGGGTGAAACTGCCCATTGGTTTTCCCCGAACGAATCGAGCCCCTAAGACTACAAATCCAGAGTGCTGTTCACTCCGCCGTCGGGCTCCTGTGGTGTACTCGCCTAGTTGTGTTTGCGGGGGTTGAGCTCTGGCTCTTTGGTCCCGCCTCTCAACTGTCAATCAACTGATGTACAGATTCCTGAGCATATTGGGCTCTATCATATCTACATTTGAAACTGTGTGTGGAGTCAGCCTCCACCACAACACTACTTAATGCATTCCATTTGTTAACTACTCTGACACTGAAAAAATTCTTTCTAACGTCTCTGTGGCTCATCTGGGTACTAAGTTTCCACCTGTGTCCCCTTGTTCGTGTTCCACCCGTGCTAAAGAGTTTGTCTTTGTCCACCCTGTCAATTCCTGGTGCCACCTGGTGTGGTGGCTGCCACATGATACTGGCTGGATAGTTAGGTTGTGGGCGTTCTACACCCCAAGCCCGGCCTGAGGCCGGGCTTGAGTAATGAGCTTGGTCCAACAGGCTGTTGCTTCACATGCTGTGGAAATGCACTTAAGTTGTAACTAGGTCAAGACGTAAATTGTTTAGTTTAAAAAAAATGCAAGAGTGGTAAGCAAGAGTGCAAGAAAAATGACAGGTTGGATAACAAGAACTTTTCACACTAGAGATGCTATACCGATGATACTTTTCAAAACGCTTGTGCTCTCTAGAGTACTGCTGCACAATGACAGCACCTTTCAAAGCTGGAGAAATTGCTGACCTGGAGAGCGTGCAGAGATCCTTTACTGCTAGAATCCACTCGGTAAAACATCTAAACTATTGGGACCGACTAAAGAGCCTAAAACTGTACTCCCTTGAGCGCAGGCGGGAGAGGTACATAATAATCTACACGTGGAAAATATTAGAGGGGCTGGTCCCAAACCTGCACACAGAAATAACATCACATGAGACCAGAAGACATGGCAGGATGTGCAGAATACCCCCGTTGAAAAACAGAGGTGCAACTGGTACTCTGAGAGAGAACTCTTATCAACATCAGAGGTCCGAGACTGTTCAACACGCTTACACTACACATAAGGGGCATAACTGGCCGACCCCTCACAGTGTTCAAGAGAACTGGATAAGCACCTCCAAAGGATACCTGATCAACCAGGCTGTGACTCATACGTCAGGCTGTGAGCAGCCGCGTCCAACAGCCTGGTTGATCAGTCCGGCAACCAGGAGGCCTGGTCGACGACCGGGCCGCGGGGACGCTAAGCCCCGGAAGCACCTCAAGGTAACCTCAAGGTAAGGTGGTGCAAGTTCATAAAGGAGGCGAGATAGCTGACATAAACATAGACCAATATCAAATCTACCTATACTTTTTTTATATATACAGTGTGGGGAGAATTTCTCCCAGCAGGAATATTTATTTTTATTTTAATTTATTAGTTAAAAGGACTAAGATTATCCTGCTAGTTTTCCTCAACTTTGTGGGGGGGGGGGTTAATACACATAGCCTATCAGTCAAAATTTATCAACTAATAGAAATTTGCTATGATTGTTAGTCTACTAATTAATAATGGATTAGAGAAAATACAGCTTAGCTGTTATGTAGTGTATAGCCTGGTAATAGGCAAGAGATGCTCCTCAGTCAAGTGGCTTGATACTCATGGTAAAGGCCTTAATGGTGACTCAAGTTGCCTTGTGTTGCACCAGGTTAAAATGTTGTTTTCCTTCTCCTTGTCTCCACCTGCCAAATAATGACACAGTAATAATCTGCTACTAATGTATTCGATATATAACAAGGACAGAAGAATGTTTGCTGGAATAATTCTTACCTGTTCAGAGCAGAAAGGTTATAGAGTAGGGTGGGTAGCGCTACTCTATAACCGGTCAGTTTATTAGTTTAAGTGATCACTATACTTATCTATTAACTAGAAATATTACTCTTCCTTTGATTAGTGAGGTTCATGTCAATAACAGGAGGCGTTGGAGTTCCACAACACTATGATTTCACAGGAAGATTAGATAACTCCCACTAGTGTGTTCGTGGGCTAAGCTGCTGCTCTGTGTTGGCATCTCTAGGTACAATGGCATCTTTCCCCACCAGCTTTGGATGCATCTGCCAGCATGGTTTTAAATTTATCATTATTGACTTATGAAAGTAGACCTTGGGTTTGTTTGCGATTTAGTTAAATCCAATCCTCGAATACTTCATCATACTGTGTTTAATTCCCCGGCTAGTGTTTTAAAGATACTAGTACGTGTTATTGATAAATAAATATTCAGGTGACGTGGCAAATGTTCCACTTTCTCTGAGAAACCATGAAACCCATATTTTTTTTTATTGTTTCACTTAAGGAAATTAATGGTTAGCAGGATTAGTAATTTGCCTAACATGACAGAATTTGCTTGGTGTGTTAAGGGGTTAGTATTGTGGAAATTTCCAACACAGTTCTTAACCAACTTTGTAAAATTCAACACAAGTCCCTGCCAGCATCCATTCCCAAAGAATACCAATGATGCCATTATTAGTCTGCCTAATATAATCTATCACAGCCCTTGACAAAAAGAGTTCCAAATTGTCCTCTTCATTGACCTGAGACAGGCCTTTGATACCATAAACCATAACTACCTCTTACTTAAACTTCGCTACTATGGTACAAGGCCTTGCTCTGGACTGTGTATATATATATATATATATATTTTTATTTTATTTATATACAGTATACATACAAGTTATTACATTATTGTACAGCCACTGGCACGCATAGCATTTCAGGTAAGTCCTAATCCTAATATTCATTCCTATCTCAGTGACACGGACACAATATGTAACCATCAGTAGCATAGCCTCCATTGCCTCCAACTCGACCATTGACAGTAGGGGTGCCACAGGGCAGCATCTTGGGACTTCTCCTATTTCTTATATACATCAATGATTTGCCAAATGTTTCTAACATTCTTAAACATATACTATTTGCTGACAATACTACCTTCATCTATTCTAACCCCAACCCCCACACACTAAATAATATTTTCAACAATGAATTTAAGAGTCCACTTAGGGATGTCAACCAACAAACTTACACTAAACATAGAAACGACCTACTACATTTTATTTGGAGTAAATCATCAAATTCAACTTCAGATAGACAATGTTTACATTACCAATAAAAATGAGGGAAAGTTCTTTGGCCTATACATAGAGACTGAACTTTCAGCAGCCACATACACATCGCAAAAAGTCTCAAACGGTCGGTATACTTTCTAAAATCAGATATTATGTTCCCCACTCTGCTCTCCTCTCATTATACTACACACTAATCTATCAAT